GAAGAGTCGGCAAACCGCTGCCAAGGCTCCGGAAGAGGAAGCAAGAGGAAGCAAAAGGAAGGAAAAACAAGAAAAAAAGGAAAAAAAAAGATAAAAAGGATCGAGGAAGAAAAAGAAGAGGAGGAGAAGGAAGAGGAAAAAGAAAATTGGTCGTCCCCAGTGGTCGTTGTCCCAGATGTCACGGTCGTGCCGTCGAGGCGAGTCTAGAGCACGCGTGAACAGGAGCAGCGGGTAATCCCGATAGCGAGTGGTTGTTGGATCGGAGGGAAAGGTCGCGAAGCCTGTGAGATAAACGGGATCGAGGAGACGGAGGAAGATCGACGCGGTTGGCCTGACTCGGGGTTTCGGCGTCGGGAGATCAGGATCGGAGGAGACGTATTATTCTCGAGAAGAAGAACGGTAACGCGACCTCCTGCTCGCAGGGGGTTCACGTCGAGATGACGTGGCGGGGAAGATGAGCGCCGAGGTAACGAAGGAGGTGGTCGCCACCGAGAGGGTAACAGGAAGCCCTCCGGCGGCGGTCGCGACCTCGCCGAGCTCGATCGGTCCAGGTGATCCGGCGCGTCACCTGCCGCCGTTCAGCAGCTTCGCCGGGGACAACGCGATGGACAGCTCGACAACACTGACTACCCTTCACTCGCAGGACGTCGGACTCGGTCTGACGTCCTCCTGGGACTACTACGAAGGACTGACGGGTCGCTTGATCGATTCACGGGGCGAGGTGGTGCTCGCCAGCCAGTACAGGCCATGGGAGTCGAAGAACGCCGGCGGTGGCGGTGCGCCGACCGCCGCGGCAGCCGCCGAAGGTCTGCCTAGCTTCGCGAGTCAATTTACGGCTCCTAGCGAGGCAGAGCCTCAATTAACCGCGCTCACGCCATTGTCGCCAGCCTCGATATCGCACTCTCCACCTGTCACGTCGGCGGTCGGCCTGCCTAGCTTCCACACGCTGGGCACGCCGCTTCCTACGCCTCATCCGCACAGAGGTAGCGTCGGGTATCCGTTGGTACCGGCTCCCGTTCAGGCCAGAGAGGTGCCCGCGCTTCAGCAGCAGCTGCTCGACGAGCGGCACATCCAGTTGTTGGGATCGAGCCCGGTCCAGGCGTTCCCGCCACCGCCACCCGGTCATCCTCATCACACGGTGCTGACCGTGGTGAAGCCGGAGTATCCGCAGTTGCATCACGCCAACTTCCAGAACCCGATGTCCACGGTGCTCGATTCGTCGCCCACGTCCAGGCCGATCGGCATCGACGGCAGGAAGAAAGAGCGCAGAAAAATACGCGCCGGTTCCATGGAATCCGAGGACAGCGCTGGCGCCGGCAACGTGGAGAGCTCTGGCCAGGTAGCCGCGGTCTCGTCCACGGCCAACCGGGGTCCTCATCACCTGGGTGGCGGCATGGCCGACGCGGACGGCGACGGGGGCCTCAGCGACAAGCCGGCCAAGAAGAAACGCAAGCGGTGCGGCGAGTGCATCGGATGTCAGCGTAAGGACAACTGCGGTGACTGCGCGCCGTGTCGGAACGACAAGAGCCATCAGATCTGCAAGATGAGGCGGTGCGAGAAGCTCACGGAGAAAAAGGTCAGTGCCGTTTTCCGCTTTTTACACCCTGTGTCGCGCTCGAGATCCTTCGTCGTCTGTGAGGTCCTGGATCTTTACGTCTTACAATTAGTCAAACCTGATTTGTCTTCTCTCGAGAAGAGGAAAACGCTTTTGCATCTATTGCAGATGGAGCGGTTTTGGGTAAACCGTAGCGTGGAACCCAGTCGCTACCAAGATAGTCATTCGAAGCTTATAGTCATTTGTTTCTACTTAAACGCGATTTTCGTTCATAGCTACGCTAGGAATAGGGATATAAAACAGACCATTACTTAACTTGGGACATGTGCGGTCCTAGGATCGGCGCATATTTGTATTTTTCGAGCATAGCAACGCGTTTACGTGCAAACGTGTATGAGTACCTCGGCCCTAACAGTTGTTTTCGCCGAATATGCAGCGCTCATTCGCAAAGAGTTAAATGAGAAATGTCTCTGGTATCTTGACTGTCATAGCCTAGCGAAAGATTCTACATTCACCTTTTTAACTGATTATGAAAGTGTCGTGCGACTGGAGCACTCTAATCACCTATGATACGTCTATGTAGACACTAGGTTCACCGATATCGAGTTCCTCCGTTGAAAATTCCGAATTTCTCTTTAAAAACGCGACGAAACGAACTAACTACTGTCATAGCTCACCGAAAGATCCTCTTCTTACCTTTTTAACCGATTAGGGAAGTCTTGTGCGACCGCAGCACCCTAACTCCCAATAGTACGTCTATGTAGACACTTTGTTCACCGATATCGCGTTTCTCCGTTGAATATTCCGAGTTTCCCTTTAAAAGTGCAAGTGTCATAGCCCAGAGAAAGATCCTTCTTTCACCTTTCTAACCAATCAGGAAAGTCTCGTGCGACTGGAGCACCCTGAACTCCTAATAATACGTCTATATAGACACTAGGTTCACCGATATTACGTTTCTCCGTTAAAAATTCCGAATTTCTCTTTAAAAACGTGACGAAACGAACTCACGACTGTCATAGCTCACCGAAAGATCCTCTTCTTACCTTTTTAACCGATTAGGGAAGTCTCGTGCGACCGCAGCACCTCGAAACCCCAATAATACGTCTATTTAGATACTAGGTTCACCGATATCGAGTTCCTACGTTGAAAATTTTGAATTGCTCTTTAAAAACAGGACGAAACGATCTAACGACTGTCATAACTCACCGAAATATCCTTCTTTCACCTTTCTAACCAATCAGGGAAGTCTCGTGCGACTGGTGCACCCTGAACCCCCTATGATACGTCTATGTAGACACTTTGTGCATCGATATCGCGTTCCTCCGTTAAAAATTCCGAATTTCTCTTTAAAAACGCGACGAAACGAACTCACGACTGTCATAGCCCAGTGAAAGATCCTTCTTTCACCTTTTTAACCGATCAGGGAAGTCTCGTGCGTCCGCAGCACCCTAACCCCCAATAGTACGTCTATGTAGACACTTTGTTCACCGATATCGCGTTTCTCCGTTGAATATTCCGAGTTTCCCTTTAAAAGTGCAAGTGTCATAGCCCAGAGAAAGATCCTTCTTTCACCTTTCTAACCAATCAGGAAAGTCTTGTGCGACTGGAGCACCCTGAACTCCTAATAATAGGTCTATATAGACACTAGGTTCACCGATATTACGTTTCTCCGTTAAAAATTCCGAATTTCTCTTTAAAAACGTGACGAAACGAACTCACGACTGTCATAGCTCACCGAAAGATCCTCTTCTTACCGTTTTAACCGATTAGGGAAGTCTCGTGCGACTGCAGCACCTCGAACTCCCAATAATACGTCTATATAGACACTAGGTTCACCGATATTACGTTTCTCCGTTAAAAATTCCGAATTTCTCCTTAAAAACGTGACGAAACGAACTCACAACTGTCATAGCTCACCGAAAGATCCTCTTCTTACCTTTTTAACCGATTAGGGAAGTCTCGTGCGACTGCAGCACCTCGAACTCCCAATAATACGTCTATTTAGATTATACGTCTATATAGACACTAGGTTCACCGATATTACGTTTCTCCGTTAAAAATTCCGAATTTCTTTTTAAAAACGTGACGAAACGAACTCACGACTGTCATAGCTCACCGAAATATCTTTCTTTCACCTTTCTAACCGATCAGGGAAGTCTCGTGCGACTGGAGCACCCTGAATCCCCAATAATACATCTATATAGACACTAGGTTCACCGATATTACGTTTCTCCGTTAAAAATTCCGAATTTCTCTTTAAAAACGTGACGAAACGAACTCACGACTGTCATAGCTCACCGAAATATCCTTCTTTCACCTTTCTAACCGATCAGGGAAGTCTCGTGCGACTGGAGCACCCCGAACCCCCAATAGTACGTCTATACCGGCATCTTGGTTCACCGATATCGCGTATCTCCGTTGAAAATTCCGAGTTCCCCTTTAAAAGCGCGACGAAACGAACGCGCGTGGCGGTTTGGAAAGTAAAAACCGGCCCTGTCTCGATTCACTTTCGCTGCAAGAGGAATCCTGTTGCGCGACGAGCGTTCGCGGTCGCGTAACTGGAGCAATACCGCGAGAACGGGCTGGATCGGGTGGATGGGCGAAAGGGGGCGGTGAAAGGGGCGAAAATGAAGGTGGTCGGCACGCGACAGGGTCGGGGGGTCGGGTGGCTGGTCGGGCCGCGTTTCGCTGGAAATTCGTGAAAATGCAGGTGCACGCGGCGCCCACTGGGAGAAAGGGGTGGCGCTCGGATGCCAGGGTAGGATAAACACTGGCACACAGCCGCGTTATAGAACGGTCGCGTATATATAGATAGAGGCTGAACTTGGCCCCGATGCCTGAATGTGCCGAGAATCCCAGAGGGAAATACAGAAATACAGATAACCGAGGTGGTTTATTATTGTAGCGACATTGAATAGGGGGTTGGTGGGTTGACTGGCTCGTTGGCTGGCTGGCTGTTCGGCTGCTTTTCCTAGCGACGGGTTCGAGCCGTGCTCGAGTCCGATTTTTCGTACAAATTTTTATTTCCTTTCTTGCTAATTCTTCTCTCCCTATTTCTTAATTTTTTCTCTCTATTTTCTATTATTCTCGTTTATGGGGGAATCGGAGGATCGTTGATTCCACTCGATGTGGAGCGGAATTTTTCTGTGGTCTCGAGATAGATGGCATGTTTTTGGAAATTTCGAGGCCGGTATTTTCGCGGATTGCATTGGAAAGAGTAAGATTAATTTCGTGTGCCTGGAAAGAGCATTCTTTTCTCGCGGCGAATGATTTACTTCCTTTTATTTATCGGACACGTTGCAGCTAGAGGTTATCGCGAATTATGCATTTGCAATGCTACGGTTCAGTTGCCCGATACGGGGAAACTACACGGGAACGGTTTGCAAAAGGAAGGCAAGGCTGTAACGTTTGTCGAACAACCGCGGGTGTATCGCTCGCGTTGATACAACAGAAAATCACGTGACGCTCTAACGGCGTCGATTTGCCAATAACTTGTCGCAAGTCGATTACGCTAAATACACATTATTTCTCGACTACTGAACCTGAATAGTAAAATTGCATTCGCCGGCTCGGTAACGTAGTTTAAACCGTATTTATGATCGCGATTCGGTTCGCGCCACGGCAATCCTACCCCGTTAACGAAATTATTTCTCGATCTTCCGTCTACATCATCTTATTGGAACTCTGTCAAGAAATTGGTACTATCCAAAATAAAAAATTAAAAAAAAAAAAAGGAAAAAAGAAAAATAGGAAATCTTTGCTATTTCAACTTCCCTATGGTTAAAAAGTTCGAAATCCAGATCTCAAATTTTTAATTTCAAATCTCAAATCTCAAATCCAAATCGGTAGCATGAAAAGTGCGAAAAATCGGATTGCAATAATAGGAAGAAAAAGGAAAGGAAAAAGATAAGAATTGAAAGAAAATAAAAGATAAATGGAGGAGGGATAGGATTGGAATCTGTGTCGATCACGATGCCCTTATTGGAACTCTATCAAGCGATCACTACTACCCAAAATAAAATTAAAACCGAAAAAAAAAAAAAAGGAAAAGAAAAAAAGGCAAAATAGAAAATCTTTGCTATTTCAACATCCCTATGCTTCAAAGAATCCAAATCTCAAATTTAAAATAAAATCCAAATCGGTGGTATGCAAAGTGCGGAAAATGTGCAAGAAATAATAGGAATAAGAAGAAAGGAAAAAAGATAAGAATTGAAAGAAAATGACAGAAAAATGAAGGCACAGAATACGAATCTGTGTCGGATTAGGATGGAACGAGGAGAGAAGTAGCGAAGAGCTCGTTTCGAAAACTCGAATGCACGGGGTCATTGTACCCCGACGCGAGTCAATTTAATGGCAAAGTCGCGGGCAAGCGTGTGCAGAGCGGTGTGCAACAAACAGCCGCGCGGCGTCGCCGGCTCGTAAGCAGCTCCGCTTATCGTAGGGCAAGTTCAAGGCTCGTCGCGGGTCATAATAATCGCGTATCGAACTCCGGCTCGTTCGGAAACAAACGTGTTGTTTGCTGCCGATACGGCCTAACGCTTCTCTATCTCTCTCTCTTCCTCTCTCTTCTTCTTTCTTCCTCGCGATAAACACGCTCGCCTAACAATTAAAACGAATCGATTCCTTCCACCACACGCACAGATTTCCCGTCTTCCAATCTCCTCTCTTTCTCCATTTTCCTCTCCTATCCCCGATCCTTCTCTCTCTTTCTCTCTCTCGCAAACCGCGATAAGTCAGGAATGCAGATCGATGCTCGACAGCGAATCGAGAATCGGTCCCCGATGCCGATAAGCCGAATCTATTCCGTGGAACACGTCTAACCGCTGATCCCTGTTGCGTAGGCGTGCAACGTGCGATATTAGCGGCTCTTGCCTGATCGTTTAGCCAGATCTGCCATTTTCTTCCTATCGTCCGCGGTAAATAACGCCTCGTTCTCGCCTTTCATCCTCGCCAATTTCGCTCCATTATGCTCTTATCGAACGCAAGCCACAACGTAGCCTTTATTTTCCAGTCTCAGATCG